ACACAGCTGAACATAAATTATCGCCCGAGTCGTTATTTAGCTCTGTTTCTTCCCGCATGATGATGCCATTGTCGCACAGAGACTCTCTCTCGCTGTGCATGCGAATCGAGCGGAAATATTTTTGTCGCTGCCTGAAAGTATGCAACGAAATTTTCCGTTCGCCTATTAAACTCTACGCTGTCATTAGCTTGGCCCAAACACACGCACACAAATTGATGGCCGTAACGGGTAAACCAAATTTTCGAGTTTTTTCTAAAGTCTAATCAAATTGATGCGCAATGCCGTCATTGGCGGTCTCTTCATATATATATATATATGTATATATAGTACACCTAGCAGATTCCCAATCAGAATTCAACTTCCGTTTTGGCTCGCTTCCGTTCTGGCCCGGGCATATTTTGTGATTAAAGTAAAATTGTTTACAACCTACGTGACTCTCGAGTTGAAAGTTGAAAGCGACCCATAGCCAAGCGCCCGATGCAATTAATTATGTTGCTGACAAAGTTTCTTTTTCTGGCGCAGTTCATTGGCAGCATCTGTCGTCGCAGTATTGATTGAGATTTTAGAAAATGTTTCAAAATACACAAGAAATGAGGCATTTTATTCATGAAACACTTTAGATGTCGAGCAAAAGTATTGAATTACAAGCGAGTTTGTTGTTTTGCAAATTATCATCTTTTGGCGGGCAGACAAAACTTCATCAACTTGTGGAGGCGTTTTGCCTAAATTCAATATTCCGTTCACTAGCTGCATACAGCGTACGCAGTGACAAGAAGGGTATATTTGGTTTTAGTATTCTCATCCTTTCTGGCTGAGAATGTTTGATATTTTACATTAAATTATTTCTGACATTCGGCAAATTAAACATAACGGACAGCTATAGTAGCTTAGCAGTCACTGAGCTTCCATTTGCGGGTTGATTTTCAGCGATAGTTTCAGAATCAGTTCTATGAAAATCATTGGACTTAGATTTTCTGATGGACTTGTATTGGCAGTTATTTACAGTTTTAGAGTCACTATTCTGTGTTTATTACTTGAAGTACGTAGTACTTAGCAGCTTTAAATGCATCAGCATTGCTGGACAGTCACACAGAAAACGGTTCCACTTAAGTTTATCATAGTTTGAAAGCGCCTGTTGTAAGTATAGTAAGTACAGTGGCTCTCAAACTATGCTAGAGGATATGCTCAGCAGATTACTTTGTGGTGGCAGTTTCATGCAGTCAGCACAGTTTGAAAGTTATTCTGTTTATGGCTTAGCGAAGTTTTAAGGCCATTGCCCTTACAGTTATAAGAACTATAGCTATCAGTATGAATTTTCATTTCATGCATAGTAACAGTTGGCAAAGTTTGAAGTCATTCCGGTTATAGCTTATAGTTTTAAAGCCACTGTACTTATATTCAAGAGCTAAGCAATTATTTCACTCCAGGTAAAATTTGATTCGATACTTTTATAGAGAAAATAGAGCTATAGTTACGTTACCGCACAAGGTAAATTTGATAGCTACTATTAACAGTGTCAGTGCACAGTTTTACAGTCCATAAACTTACAGCTGTTAAGCCTTAAGAATATTTGATTTATTCGCTTTGTCAATCGCACTTTAAGCCGTGACAGCTCCATTAAGCTAAATAGCAATTTACTAAAGCAGTAAATAACATATTCAACAGTCGATGACTTTTATGCACAGTTTTAGAGTCACACTTTCAACAGTCATGACTATGAAAAACTCTATATAAATCAAGTTTACAGAGCAAATAGGGTATTGTGCCGTTGGTTACACCCGCTGGCCAGTCATCTATTTTCGCATTGTTTCACATTTCCATCGTCAGCGCATATTGAACAGCGTCCCTTAAACTGTGGGTCCGCAGGATATTTGAACTCTAGTTCGGTTTACATAGTCGGATGGACCCGCCGTAGTCATGTCCAGACACGAATTCATCATGTTGTCTGCGTCAATGCTGAGAGCTGGTCCGGCCGGTCTGGTCGAGCCCGCGGTGACGTCAGCAGTTGCAGAAGAAGAAGACAACGCAATTAGAAGAAACGAACGGACGAACGTGAAACGGACAAACAACAGATGTTATTGGCACATGCCATTCGGACAGAGACGTCTGCCTCGTACGTATATAAACAATTACAGCAGGAGTTGTTGTTGTTGCTTTCTTTTATGTATATGTATGTATATAATATATAGGTATATCAAAATGGGCTTTAATAAATTCCATACAAAATTGCAGCAATGCGAATTTGGAAAAGCTAAACCTTGACACCGATTTCGCCGGGATTGAATATTTTGACGTTGCGATCGTTGACCTTGTAGAGGACCTCCTTGCGCGTCTGCTCGCAGGAGTAGCTGCCCTCGTCGTCCAGGACACGCTCGATCAGCAGCTTGCCATCCACCTCGCGAAAGACGCCGCTCTTCAGCCGCAGCACCTGGATGCGCACGTTGCCCAGCTTGGCCACATTGTTGTCCGTGAGCGGGTGGATGTCGCTGTTGCTCAGCTTCGTGATGACGGTCAGATTGTCGTGCGCCTTGGCCAGGTCGGCCAGATCCAGGCAGAACTGCTGCACTTGCTGCTTGCTGGCGCCCAGATTGATCAGTATGGATAGATTATCAATCAGTATGGTGTAGCTGCTGCGATTCGGATAGTTCTTCTCCAGCTGTTCGCGTATGTCCTTCACCAGCTGATCCGTCAGAGTCAAGCCGTCAGGGGAGCGCAGCCACTTGGAGCTGAGGCCATGTCGCGCCATATCGCTGAGCACGTCGATCACATTGAAAGTCTTGCCGAGAAATATGTTCGAGTTATAGCCCAGCCGCATGCCCGCATTGAAGTAATGCTGATAGTGATTCTGCAGACAGACGAGCAGCGTGCCCGCATTGGAGATGCGCAGGCGTTGGCCCAGAATGCAGCTAATTAAAAAACTGCCATCGACATTCGATTCCTCGCTGATGTGCACGAATCCTGGCAGCTTCTGTTCGTTGAGACCGCAAGCGAGCAGCACTGAGGCGGCCATGATTCAGATTATGGTTTAGTGGGCAGCTGCAAAGACACAATGCACAAAGGAGCAACTGAAGTGAATATGTTTTTGGTCAATTTATAAATGCCATAAAATGTGTAGTCAATTAATTAAATGTGACGCGGGGTCACGTGCTCCGACATGCTTCATGTTGCAGACCAAATGGCCAATTGCCCAAATGGCCAAACGGCCAGAATGACCTCCAGACTTTCCTTTTTAATTTATTTACTTTCATTTTGTCACTTCGTCATCGCTGTCAGCCGCACACGTGGCCAATAGCCCGCCAATCAATGAAAATAATTTATAAATGTGGAAAAAAAAAATTGAAATACCAAAAAAAAAAAACTTCTTCTTGGCCCATGGGGGGATCGAACCCGCGACCTTCGCGTTATTAGCACGACGCTCTAACCAGCTGAGCTAATGGGCCACATGTATGAAAAGCCTCCAAAAGCCCATTTCAACGGTAAACCCAAAACGAAAAAAGCTTTTATGTAAAAGCTCGCACGCGCCTTCTCTGCATGTGTAAATATTTTGTAGCAAATTGAATATGGTAAACAAAACTCTGATTGGAATAGAATAGCTAAACGTGTTTCTGCCATTTTTTCAGCCAGCAAATAAGAAATACACATTTGCCTTTGTTATTATATAGGCGACTATTTTGCCATTTCTAGCGTCTAGGCCAATCGTTCGCTTGTTTATCAAGCTAAAAGCGTTAAAAAAATTGCTGCAACAAATTAACGTTCTAATTAGACCTTGGCTGTCAATGCGAATGGCCACCTAATAAGAGCGGCGTTTGAAATATTAGTTTCGTAATTAATAATAATTATGAATGGCAATAAATTTTAAATTAACTCACGACAGATAAATATTTATTGAGTATATATATTATATAAGTATTTATTTATATTTTTAAAAAGGCGCCTAGCAGCTGATTAATAATATATTGTAGACTTCTTTGTTTATTACATAAAAGGCATTTAAAATACATCATTTCGACAATATCTATGCTGCCTAATACATGGACCTTAAAATACCCTGCAGTTAAGGAAACTGTATGCATAATAATATTAAATATATTAACAAATAATATAATAACAACACATTCAACATATTCTTTTTAAATTAGCAACAATTTAATTGATTTTTTGTCTGACGAAATATAGAGTAGGGAATGTTAAATAACCTCGACCTCCATTAGTGATTTCGTTATTTGGGGATTTCGTTTTAGTTACATACATATGTATATAATTAATATCTAATATCCTTCACTTCTATTTTCTATATTTCACATTCTAATAACCTTTACATTATTCATACCCCCTTACATATGCATACAGGGTACTATTGAAAACAAGAACGAACTTTGCAGTGATAATGAGCTTTAGCCCGCCGATGAGCCATTGCAACGATATGAAAACACACACATACAAACATATACACAACACATTTGTATTGTTTTCAAACATTGTTGTTTCGTTTCGCATCGATTACATGGCAGATAGTTGACATGAACTTTATTATTCTACAATTGTAGAATGGAAGCACAGACACACATACGCACACACACTTGCACAGCAGCGTACATACAAATTGTGAGCGCGTACGTAGCTTATGATAGAAAAGAAAATAAATAAAAAGCTCTCACCAATTTATGTTTAATGAAGGCATACACTCGCGCTCTCTCTCTCTTTCCCTCACTCTCTCTGCCACTCTCTCTCTGAAACGCTCGTTAAGTAGGAGTTTGATTGCGACTGCGACTGCCGAAGCGTCTGACAACTGACTAACGTAAGCCAAGCCCCGCCACACTTCTGAAAAACAGTTGCAAAGTGCCCGCCTTGACCGCGCCGTCACCTCAATAGTGATAAAACCAAATCCAAAAGCCAAACACTAGTAAGTGAGAGAGAGCGTGCCGAGTGGAAGAGCGCGAGCGTCGCTGGACGAAGCTTCGTCTGACGTTCAGTCGACCGTCGACAACACACTGCTCGATCAGTACGTATTCAGTGCTCAAGCGGCGACGACGTCGTGTTGTGGTGTTGTGTGCGTGGTGTGCGTTCCAGCAGTAAAGCAAGAGAGGGAGAACAACACTAAGAAACCGGGTAAAGAACGATTCACAATATCCAGACCAGTTTTTCGCCGTCAATTGTGGTAATGATGCGCTGAACTCCCACTCGCCCACTCTCTCTCTCTCTCTCTCTCTCTGTCGATTGTGTTGTGTGCGCGTGTGTGTGTGTGTGTATTGGTGTTGCCAAAAATATAGAGCTTAAGCAATTTATAGCGGTAAACAACATACGCCGCTACAACATTTGTCTCTCGCGTTTTCAAGGTAAACTTTCAATTAGCTGAGTAGTCAATTTTTCCAATATCAAAATGCAACGATTTACACTGCATGCAATGAATGTGTGTGAATTTCGTTATATACATACAAGTGTGTGTTTAAATCTAATTCAATTGCCAACATTTGCACAGACATTAGTTTTGATAGCAACAGCGGGAGAAATCATGGCATTATCACGCAACCTGTCGTGATCTACGTCTATGAAAAAATGTGACAATCAGCTGTTTGCAAACACACATACACACACACGCATACATATATACTATGTACACAGCCGCACACGCCGAGAAATATGTTTCTAGTTGGGAAGGCGCGACTGTTTTCATATTATATAGAAACAAATCTATAAGCATATTTTTCTTATTGGATCATGTGATGTTTTGCTTTGACCTTTGCTCATGGAACGTTTCAGTTTATGATCAGATAAACAGCAAAAAGTACAAAATCTAATAATAATAACGACTTATCAATAACCGGCATAACATGTAATCTTTATATCACAGAAGGAATAAATGTCTTTACATTTACTATGCTGTTAAAAGCTCTTGTATATGTTAAGCTCGATAAACTGTTATGTGTTAAGCTTTCTCTATGGAAGCTGCTTAGATTTCTCGCAAAACACAAACAATGTGTGTTTTCATTCAGAATCCACTTGTTTTTCTTTTTTGGCAACACAAGAGAGGAAAAAGAATCGTGTGATTTATTGGCCATTTGCTGCACGTGGCATGGTTCACACGAAATGTCTTATATATACATACACATACATATACACATATACATACATATATTCATAAAGAAGCTTATGCATATTTGGAATTATTTAGTTTGTTATCACCAGGCGAGTGGGCAACGAGCTGAAAAGTCGATTAGCGTAAAGTCAAACAGGGTCTCATTTTTTTGGCTGACTAAGCATGAAATAATGTTAATTGTTAGCTAATAAGTTTTTAGTTCTCAACTAAACATGAATATATGCATTTGCAACTAAGCAGATCTATCGCTAAAAAGTTTCCAGTGTAATAAGCAATATAATTTCCAATTGCATCGTCCATAGCGGAACAAACAAATGCATATTCCAATTGGCTTCATTACAGTAGCCAGTCGCCAATTGGAAAATTTTATCAGATATTTTTGACGTAAAATAAAATACAGTATTACTTCCCCAATGGGTACATACATTAATTTATCTAAAAGTCTTCAATTGTTCCCAACATAAATATATTAAAACTACAAAAAGGAATTTTGCAATTATAATTTTAGTGTTGTTGGTTACGTTATATATATTATCTTTTAATTAGGGTTTCTTTAAATATTATATTAAAAGAAACCTTTTTAAGAAAAAATTATAACAACCCTTCTTAATAAAGCAATAATTTTAGAAATTTTAAATATGTGTTTATACTACATATAATTTCTTCTTAAAGCCTGTGCTTTACTCTATTTTAGTTGACATTGTTATTTGGCCTACATATTTCTGAAATTTCAATTTTAATATTTTTTATCAGCTATATATTTATTTATTCGTTTTTGAAAGACAAAAATTCAAAATTTTTAATTTTTTTAAATATCAAATCGAACAATTTTAGCTAATGTTAAAATATGAATTTTGGCATATCGGCAAGTAACACGTTTGAATCCACTCACGCCCACCGTAACTCGCTAGGGTGCGCAGGTCAGTGTGCGTGTGTATGTGTGTATTCGAAAATGGCTAATCAAGCAGTAAATGCAAACACACACACACAAGGAGACACACATACTCATAACTGTGTATGCAGCTTCAGGCACTTACACACACATAATCTATCATGCACACACACTCACTTCGATATCGTTATAATTCAGTTGCGCAAATTTCTTAGCTTAAAAGGAAAATCCAATCAGGCAGCTTTGTAAATTTAAATTAAAATAAACAAATACAAATATTCAAATATTCAGAAACATTCGCTACGTGTTGCCCAATTTCAATGCCGAAATGAAATACAACCGCTTTTTTCGTAATAAGAGATGCATACAGAATTAACTAATTGCACGTCAACAACTTAGCCGAAGTTACGAGCACGTTGTATGTTTCGCAGCATGTAAGAAACTAATATATGCATAAATATTTATGCAATATACTTACAAATCGTATGGCACATATGCTGCAAAGCAATTTAATAGATTTGATTGTGGAAAAACTTGCAAATTTGCGCACAAAAAGAAAACAATAAGCGGCACTACACACACACGACTTCACAATGCTTTGGGCAGCATTTAGCAAACAGCTGTTCGTGCAGCGTTGCCACTATGTACGCTCAGTTTTCACTGATGTGGCCATTTTGCATATATGACTAGTGCTGCCAAATGGCTGACGTGATTAAAGGCGCGCGCAACCAATGCTTACGTCATGGCTCAGCTGATTATACGTATTTTATTATCCTTAGCTTTTATTAATAGTGGCGATGATGTAATATTTTGTAGCTGTTAAGAATGTTGCGCCAACTTGATATTAAAATTAAATCACAATTTCGTTAATAGTTTTAGTGTTAAATTGACAAAAATGTATTTGAATATTTTGCTAATTTGATTGATTGATTAGTTAGCAAAAAGCAGAAACAGAAAATCAACAAAATGAGCAGCGACAAGCATGCCCATTGGTACTTTGGTGGCATTGCCAGCGTTGGAGCGGCATGCGTGACACATCCTCTGGACCTGCTCAAGGTGACGCTGCAGACGCAACAGGGCCATTTGTCCGTGCTGCGCTTGGTGCCAAAAATCATGCAGGAACAGGGTGTCCTGGCCTTCTACAATGGTTTATCTGCCTCGATCCTGCGCCAAATGACATACTCAACGACACGATTCGGTGCCTACGAGGTGGGCAAGGAGTTCGTCAACACCGACACCTTTGCGGGCAAAATCGCCCTGGCCGGCCTCTCGGGCATGATTGGCGGCATCTTTGGCACGCCCGCAGATATGATAAATGTGCGCATGCAAAACGATGTCAAACTGCCGCCCGAACTGCGTAGAAAGTAAGTGGACGAACGAAACAAACTAAACTGAATCCCTAATCATAATCGATATACTCTCTTAACAGCTATCGCTCTGGTGTGGATGGCATTGTCAAGGTGTACAAGACGGAGGGCTTCAGGAAGCTATTCTCAGGCGGCTCGACGGCGACGGCTCGTGGCGTCTTCATGACCATTGGTCAGATTGCCTTCTACGATCAGATCAAATCTACGCTGTTGGCTACGCCCTATTTCCAGGACAATCTGGTCACGCACTTCACCGCGTCACTCATGGCCGGCGCCATAGCCACGACGTTAACGCAGCCCATGGATGTGCTGAAGACACGGTCAATGAATGCCAAGCCCGGCGAATATAAGAGTCTCTGGGATATTGTGCTGCATACAGCGAAGCTGGGGCCGCTCGGCTTCTTCAAGGGCTACGTACCGGCATTTGTGCGTCTGGGTCCGCAGACGATATTGACGTTCATGTTCCTAGAGCAGCTGAGATTAAATTTCGGCTACGAGAAGCAGTAACATTCCCGCCTGCAACTAGTTTAAGATGATGTTAATTGCATAAATTGCAGCTGTTGGCTTTCGTTTTTAATGTATATAATTTGCGACTTTTAGATCAAAATTGAATTTTATGTTATGTAAGCTTTGATCGAATTATAAACAATATTCAAGCTGGGCGGAGTTTATCTCGTTACAAGTCCATTTAAAAAAAATACATAAATTCGTGATTGTTAAAAAACATGCTGGCATTTCCGTTGACACTTTTGATTTCGATCGGCCTACGTGGCGGATGCGCAACGCTCGCATGCGATTAGCAGCTGTATAAAAAGCTCGTTCGGTGCTCGAAAATTTTATATCCGATTGCAATGTCTGTGTACTTGGTGCAGTTCTTCGCACTGCTGCTAGTCGGCAGCTGCGTCCATGTGCAAGGTGGCGAATTAAATTCAACCATAGGCGAAATATCAAAGACTCACGAGGACACGACGATGTTCGGAACTGACTTAAGAGTCAAATACCAGGATGAAAAGACAAGCGCTGTTATCAATGGGGAGCTGAACATGTTGACCAGCCTAGACAACGATTGGAAGGTGAGATATATGTATGTGTATATATCAATAAGAATATATTATACAAAGTACAAATAGGTAAGTGCGAATTCTCATACTTATGCAATAGAAGGATCGAGCTTGAAGACATTTGCGAACTGCAATAACACTGACGGTTGGCAGCATATAGCTAACTGATATGACACACTCCGTGCTCAAAGCAGACTGACAGCAGCTAGCTGTTATGTAATAATTTAATTTTATAAATATAAATTTTGTATATATGTACATATATGAGAAGATAATTTCGTATATGCTTATATCTCATCTCAGTAATACATATTTATTAATTTAAATCAGGTAAACATAACAATTCTTAGGGCGGATTCACCATCATCGGAGTATAAAGTGCATAAGGATTATCCTGTGATGGGTGTCTGCGATTTAATGGGATCGTTATATAAGAACTTCATATATGAGAAGATAAAGGAATATTCGAATGCACCCGACCCAAAGAGCTGTCCATTGTCTCCTCAAGATTTCTACATTAAGGAGTACACACTGCATGCATCGAAACTTGAGAAATATTTGTCGACTGGCTTCTATATAGTAGATGGACAACTATTGCAGAACGACGAAATTAAATTGGGTTACCAGATGAAAATCGTAATTGCTTAACCAATGCCCTTTAATGTTTGAATCGTTTGATTGAATAAAGAAACTATTCGTAGTTAGACATTTGCTTGAGGACTTCGTCGTACACGTATTTCTTGGCCTCAGTGCCCCAGATAAAGTCCAGATGGGCCCACTTCTCGAACGGCACCAGATAGTCGAGCGCCATGTTGGGGAGCTCATCGCGCAGCTTGCGCACATCCTTCAGATCGCACATCCAGTCGTTGGCGCCATAGTACAGTAGAACGGGTGCCTTGGCGTTCTTTAGCTTGTACTCCGGCGGATAGTAGCTGCCGTACTCGTAGGGATTGCGTAACACAGAGTAATCGAACTTGCGGAATTTGCCGGAGTTGTGTTCCTGGCAGAAATGCAGATTCTGATTGACCGAAGCGCCGGCGGGCGATGTAGCCTTGATGTGCTCCAGCAGATTCTGCAGAGAAATCAAGATAGAGCACGTCATACCTCTAGTTATCTAGCTATCCTCTTCTATCACTTACATAGTCCAGTTGCTCGGAATCGTAGCCGCCGATCAGGAAGATCTCATTGGCGCACATCTCAGCGTAGGGCGAGGTGGCTTTGCACATCTCAATGCCCATGTCCTGCTTGAACTTGTTGCTGGGCATGAACTCCATGGAGCCACAGAGCTCGACCATGGCATTGGGCTGGCCCAGAATGGGAGCGAAAGCGCGTGTCATTGGACTCTTCATGTTGCCCATGTAGGCGGCGGGGCCCAGCAGATGGGCCGACTTGATCTTGTCATTGTATTTGGGGCGCTCGGACATCATGACCAGGTAGACGGTGGTACCCTGGGAGTGGCCTACGTACTGCAGTTGGCTCTCGCCAGTCACACCCAACACGTAGTCAATCATGGCAGGCACATCGTAGATGCCAATCTCGTTCCAGCTGAAGTTCCAGAACACCTGCCAGAAGGTGGGCCAGTATTTGTGGGCCTTGGAGTACGTATTGCCGCGGGCATTGCCCATCCAGACATCGTAGCCGGCATCGGAGAGGATGTAGGCCAAGGCCTTGCCGGGACCCATCAGCACCCAATCGCAGCTGGAGCTCAGCATGCCGTGCATGAGGAACGCAACTGGTCGCTTTCCAGTGTCGCCCGTCTTGGGGGAGTGGGGTATGCGGTGCATGGTCAGAATGTAGTTGTCCTCGGTGACCACGGTGTGGCGCTCCATTGGGTAGCCATCGTTCTCGATTCGTTCGCCCTGAAAGCAGTTGAAATCTAGAACTTGCCCCAAGTTAATTGTGGATGGGTCTTACGCAATCCGAGATGGGTCTCTTGGCAGCCAGAGCCAGAGATAGCATGCCCAGGAGCAGGCAGGCACAAATCAAATGTCTACTCATCTTGTTCCTTCTTTCAGTATTGCACTTAGCCTGGCAATTCGAGCGCCTTATATAGGCTGGGCATCCGTTATCGCCTCTATAAGATCTGATATGCCTGCAGCACTATCTATTGATAATATTCAGTTTGTGAGTCCAAATTTTTGTTGTCTTACACTTTGTTTACCCCCCCAGCGAATCGAATGCTATGTAGAGCCATGGGTCTAATCTATTTTTTTTTTTTTACCCTGAACCCATTGAAAATGGGAAATCAGGGTATAATGGTTTTTTTAAAAGTATGTAACAGGCAGAAGGAGGCGTGGCAGACCCCACAAAGTATATATATTCTTGATCAGGGCGACGAGCTAAGTCGATTTGGCCCTGTCCGTCTGTCTGTCCGTCCGTCCGTCCGTCCGTCCGTCCGTCCGTATGTATGAACGCGTCGATTTCAGAAGATATAAGAGCTAGAGACTTGAAATTTTTTTTCCTAAGTCCGTGTATATCACGCGCATATCAAGTTTTTCTTTAAATATCGATAACTACTCCCGATATTTTATTATCGATCAAAAACCTTATCGAATGCTAGTTATTTAATTATATCTCCTACACCTTTAGAGCTAGAGCTTACAAACTTTAAATGTAGACTTATATATATTTTATATAATTTCGATTTTTGTTGTAATTTATCCACCCCCTCACCCTCACCTTTGTAAAAGGCGTATTTCAAGTACTAGAGACTTGTGCTTTGGAATGTACATACATTTGAACATTATGATTACGTTTTGAAAGTTTCATTAAGATTGTACGTCTAGAAATTAAATTATTCAACAAAGAAATTCTTATAATGTTGCCCACACTACAGCGCAGCCCAAGCGCAGTCGCTGCTTACTGCGCAGTTAGCAGAGCGCATTCTAATACGCAGAGTGAATATCAGATTAGAGGGTTTAGGGTATCTCCCTAGTCGAGCAGTCTCGACTAGAGTCTTCTTACTTGTTTTTTTCTATTTTTGATTTGAGACAATTTTGTCTCTAATTTACAATTCGCCCGATCCTCCATGCTACTTCAGTATATGTCGGCCTTTATCGTCAATATAGTATATACGTATATATATTTTTTGATTTTATTTATTGAGTTTCTTGTGCAAAGCTCTTACAATCGTGTGTACTGGTACAATAAATAATTTATTTGATAAGTCCAATCGTACGTTCCCTATAAACTATATACAAATTAAAGTGCATCATCAGGACAGCATGACAAAATTAATCGCTATTGGTCTACCTATGTATGGGCGTAGGTCAATGCTTGATATACAATATATATTATTTAGGCCGTGACGTGATTGTTCGTATATAACATATAACTCCATAAAAAAATAAAAAAAAAATATTAAAAGAAAAATGGCATCACGTTTTTAACGCAAAACAGGCGGGATACATATCGTAAATTTAGCATAGACATACATGTTGTCTATACCATTGATTTTAACCCAGTTATAGTTATAAAGTCCATAGTTATAAACGCTAGAGACTTGATTTTTGAAATACTAATACTATTCTAAATACTATTCTATAACATAACTAGTATAAGCATAATATTTGGGTTGGATAACTTAAGTCCTTTAAACGTTATCAATAAAAATCAATCTTTATACTTAAATTTGAGAGCATAACTGGTAGATATTAGACATTTACTTAAGAGATGCCTATGATGATTGCATAGCAGATACATTTATCAATATAGATTAGATACAGATGGAGATATAAATACAAAGACAGTGCTGTGTATATTGAATTGCATTATGACTACCTGGTCTTGATTCAATTTTAGAGAGATAAGAGGAATTAAAATTATTTATTTTGTATGGTTTTGCAAATATTCTTTATATTCATTAACTACTCATTGCAATATCATTGTTATTCTCTAAAATAAATCATAGATCATATCTGCAGTTCCTAAGTTATTCTACAATTTATTAAACTAGTTCAGTGGAGGTCTTAAGTGCTTTGGCATGTGTCTGACTGCATCTGTTTTCTTATATATGTAAATATACAGTCAACCTTAAGTAGCTTGAGCGTCTCCCACCTAGAACACACCCACTTTCCTATTAAAGCACATAATTAAAAAGGACCAGTTCGAAAATGAAAAGAATTTCCTTTGATTTCCTATGCCTACAGGTCATTCGACGTGGGTCTAGGTCAGCACTCAACATGCTCCAAATACACACAGTCGAGACACGTATGCAATCAGAATTATTGATTTGTGGGAGATACACATATGCATCAAATATGTAGGTTAGTCATGACGACCGGCCACGGCCACAACAATCCGATAATTGCGTCCTTAAGCAGTATGTACAAAAAATATTCGATAAACTGCCTTATGACACTTTATTAGATACTGTTGCGTTGTCGCGGAAGGATATACTAGTTGCCCCATTTTGCTTATCGGAGCTGTTACCTGTTACCAATTACCAAAATGAAGCATCAGCAAGTTGTTGTTGACTACTGGACCATGCTGAAGACATCGGCATTGTGTCTGATATTGGCTGTAACGGGTTTTATATTTCTCAGGTATATATGAAAATTATATCTCATAGACTTTGATCTTGAATTCCTTTGTATTCGTCGTAGAATGGTGCAAACGATCTTTTGGTTGCCCAAACGTTTTAATCAGAACCAGGAACGATTGGAAGCCTTGGCCAAGCAATATAGCGAACAAATGGATCCGGAGGAGCGAGCTGAAATCGAAAAGCTTTTCAACAGCAAGGAACCCCTAACAGAGGCGCAAATTAATAAGTTGCTGGATGGTTCCAAATCGGAGATCGAAGAGCCCAAAAAAGAACAGTAGACACTAAGTATTTAATACACAAAAGAATGCCCATGTCCTGCTTGAACTTGTTGCTGGGCATGAACTCCATGGAGCCACAGAGCTCGACCATGGCATTGGGCTGGCCCAGAATGGGAGCGAAAGCGCGTGTCATTGGACTCTTCATGTTGCCCATGTAGGCGGCGGGGCCCAGCAGATGGGCCGACTTGATCTTGTCATTGTATTTGGGGCGCTCGGACATCATGACCAGGTAGACGGTGGTACCCTGGGAGTGGCCTACGTACTGCAGTTGGCTCTCGCCAGTCACACCCAACACGTAGTCAATCATGGCAGGCACATCGTAGATGCCAATCTCGTTCCAGCTGAAGTTCCAGAACACCTGCCAGAAGGTGGGCCAGTATTTGTGGGCCTTGGAGTACGTATTGCCGCGGGCATTGCCCATCCAGACATCGTAGCCGGCATCGGAGAGGATGTAGGCCAAGGCCTTGCCGGGACCCATCAGCACCCAATCGCAGCTGGAGCTCAGCATGCCGTGCATGAGGAACGCAACTGGTCGCTTTCCAGTGTCGCCCGTCTTGGGGGAGTGGGGTATGCGGTGCATGGTCAGAATGTAGTTGTCCTCGGTGACCACGGTGTGGCGCTCCATTGGGTAGCCATCGTTCTCGATTCGTTCGCCCTGAAAGCAGTTGAAATCTAGAACTTGCCCCAAGTTAATTGTGGATGGGTCTTACGCAATCCGAGATGGGTCTCTTGGCAGCCAGAGCCAGAGATAGCATGCCCAGGAGCAGGCAGGCACAAATCAAATGTCTACTCATCTTGTTCCTTCTTTCAGTATTGCACTTAGCCTGGCAATTCGAGCGCCTTATATAGGCTGGGCATCCGTTATCGCCTCTATAAGATCTGATATGCCTGCAGCACTATCTATTGATAATATTCAGTTTGTGAGTCCAAATTTTTGTTGTCTTACACTTTGTTTACCCCCCCAGCGAATCGAATGCTATGTAGAGCCATGGGTCTAATCTATTTTTTTTTTTTTTACCCTGAACCCATTGAAAATGGGAAATCAGGGTATAATGGTTTTTTTAAAAGTATGTAACAGGCAGAAGGAGGCGTGGCAGACCCCACAAAGTATATATATTCTTGATCAGGGCGACGAGCTAAGTCGATTTGGCCCTGTCCGTCTGTCTGTCCGTCCGTCCGTCCGTCCGTCCGTCCGTCCGTCCGTATGTATGAACGCGTCGATTTCAGAAGATATAAGAGCTAGAGACTTGAAATTTTTTTTCCTAAGTCCGTGTATATCACGCGCATATCAAGTTTTTCTTTAAATATCGATAACTACTCCCGATATTTTATTATCGATCAAAAACCTTATCGAATGCTAGTTATTTAATTATATCTCCTACACCTTTAGAGCTAGAGCTTACAAACTTTAAATGTAGACTTATATATATTTTATATAATTTCGATTTTTGTTGTAATTTCCCCCCCACCCTTATATCCACCCCCTCACCCTCACCTTTGTAAAAGACGTATTTCAAGTACTAGAGACTTGTGCTTTAGAATGTACATACATTTGAACATTATGATTATGTTCTGAAAGTTTCATTAAGATTGTACGTCTAGAAATTAAATTATTCAACAAAGAAATTCTTATAATGTTGCCCACACTACAGCGCAGCCCAAGCGCAGTCGCTGCTTACTGCGCAGTTAGCAGAGCGCATTCTAATACGCAGAGTGAATATCAGATTAGAGGGTTTAGGGTATCTCCTAGTCGAGCAGTCTCGACTAGAGTCTTCTTACTTGTTTTTTTTCTATTTTTGATTTGAGACAATTTTGTCTCTAATTTACAATTCGCCCGATCCTCCATGCTACTTCAGTATATGTCGGCCTTTATCGTCAATATAGTATATACGTATATATATTTTTTGATTTTATTTATTGAGTTTCTTGTGCAAAGCTCTTACAATCGTGTGTACTGGTACAATAAATAATTTATTTGATAAGTCCAATCGTACGTTCCCTATAAACTATATACAAATTAAAGTGCATCATCAGGACAGCATGACAAAATTAATCGCTATTGGTCTACCTATGTATGGGCGTAGGTCAATGCTTGATATACAATATATATTATTTAGGCCGTGACGTGATTGTTCGTATATAACATATAACTCCATAAAAAAATAAAAAAAAAATATTAAAAGAAAAATGGCATCACGTTTTTAACGCAAAACAGGCGGGATACATATCGTAAATTTAGCATAGACATACATGTTGTCTATACCATTGATTTTAACCCAGTTATAGTTATAAAGTCCATAGTTATAAACGCTAGAGACTTGATTTTTGAAATACTAATACTATTCTAAATACTATTCTATAACATAACTAGTATAAGCATAATATTTGGGTTGGATAACTTAAGTCCTTTAAACGTTATCAATAAAAATCAATCTTTATACTTAAATTTGAGAGCATAACTGGTAGATATTAGACATTTACTTAAGAGATGCCTATGATGATTGCATAGCAGATACATTTATCAATATAGATTAGATACAGATGGAGATATAAATACAAAGACAGTGCTGTGTATATTGAATTGCATTATGACTACCTGGTCTTGATTCAATTTTAGAGAGATAAGAGGAATTAAAATTATTTATTTTGTATGGTTTTGCAAATATTCTTTATATTCATTAACTACTCATTGCAATATCATTGTTATTCTCTAAAATAAATCATAGATCATATCTGCAGTTCCTAAGTTATTCTACAATTTATTAAACTAGTTCAGTGGAGGTCTTAAGTGCTTTGGCATGTGTCTGACTGCATCTGTTTTCTTATATATGTAAATATACAGTCAACCTTAAGTAGCTTGAGCGTCTCCCACCTAGAACACACCCACTTTCCTATTAAAGCACATAATTAAAAAGGACCAGTTCGAAAATGAAAAGAATTTCCTTTGATTTCCTATGCCTACAGGTCATTCGACGTGGGTCTAGGTCAGCACTCAACATGCTCCAAATACACACAGTCGAGACACGTATGCAATCAGAATTATTGATTTGTGGGAGATACACATATGCATCAAATATGTAGGTTAGTCATGACGACCGGCCACGGCCACAACAATCCGATAATTGCGTCCTTAAGCAGTATGTACAAAAAATATTCGATAAACTGCCTTATGACACTTTATTAGATACTGTTGCGTTGTCGCGGAAGGATATACTAGTTGCCCCATTTTGCTTATCGGAGCTGTTACCTGTTACCAATTACCAAAATGAAGCATCAGCAAGTTGTTGTTGACTACTGGACCATGCTGAAGACATCGGCATTGTGTCTGATATTGGCTGTAACGGGTTTTATATTTCTCAGGTATATATGAAAATTATATCTCATAGACTTTGATCTTGAATTCCTTTGTATTCGTCGTAGAATGGTGCAAACGATCTTTTGGTTGCCCAAACGTTTTAATCAGAACCAGGAACGATTGGAAGCCTTGGCCAAGCAATATAGCGAACAAATGGATCCGGAGGAGCGAGCTGAAATCGAAAAGCTTTTCAACAGCAAGGAACCCCTAACAGAGGCGCAAATTAATAAGTTGCTGGATGGTTCCAAATCGGAGATCGAAGAGCCCAAAAAAGAACAGTAGACACTAAGTATTTAATACACAAAAGAATTTTAAATGAATAAATACATATCTGGAAAAGAAGAGCAGTGGAAAACCTATATAGCAAATATCCCACAATCAACAGTAGATACTAGCTATAAATAACCTACAAGATTTCACCGGAATAAATATTTATTTTTAATATTTCTGAAAACTTTCAATTCAGTAAGCGATGAGTCCAGCTGGCAACAGTAGACACTAGCTATAAAGTTCACAGATTGTATTTTGTTTTTAAACAATATATAGCATATATATTTTGTTTAGTATATCAAGTATGTTTTGAAACAATAATTGGTATTACAGCGATTTTACACATCATTTATAATATTTATATATCTTAAAACTGAGCAATCAACTAAATTGGCAAAACATAAACGTATAATCAATCAGCAACTGGTTAGTTATGTATTTATTTAGTAGGGTATATGTATGCATGTAACATATGTATGTATATATAAATAGGTACTTATAATAAGAACAAAAATATATGTATATAACCATATATATATGTATGTATTGGAAAAAGCAGTTCTATTTGCTACTGATATATGCGGACTTTAAGCCCTTTCCTGCTTCAATTTCAAGTGTTTGAGGGGAAGCGAACAAACGATGCCTTATGAAGAGCCTCAAATAACAAAGGACATTTACATAGATATCATCAACTTCAACCTCTTAAGTTTTCTTCATCTTCATCTAAATTTTCCTTTTTTTTTCTTTATTAACTAACTCATATCAAATATAAGCAAGCAATACAATACAGATTCAGATTTACTATAATTTCTACATATATTGGGTTTTTCAAAAGCGCAAGTCTCTCTTTTTTGTCTTCTTCATTTTCTTTATTTTTTAAAGGATTTCTTTTACCACTTTTCTAAAATTTGTCATATATGTAGTATATATGATGAATATAAAAACGTTTTTTTATCTCGCACTTTCTAGCCAGCCAAAAATATCACGAGAGTTTTTTTTTGCTATGATAAGAACTAAATTATAAGCCTTTTGATATTAGCCATTTTGTTTTGTTTTTGGTTGTCTTTGGTATAATATATAGAAAGAAAAAAATGTTGACCAATTCCGAGAGAGCGCATTTCTGTCTATGTTAAACAACTTGTGAAACAGAATAATTATATATGTATATATGATCAGTTGTGTATATAACTTAGTTAATATTTCATTCATATATATTATATGTATACATATAGATATTTATATATATACTTTTGATAACATTTAAGAGCTGTCCTCACTGCTCTATTGACTTGTGGTATGCATTGGAAGTCTGAAAAATGGATTTGCCAAGTTAACGCGCGCAGCCGGCAGCAACTCGGGATGTTCGGTTAGAGTATCGGAGAGTGCGGTGAGCAGAACTCCTAAAAGGAAAACGAAAACAAATTAGAAAACTTGTTTTTATTAATAATATTAAATCCCCACTCACTTAGCACTTTCTTCTGCAAGTCAACGGGAATAATGCCCAGATTGCCCTCGTGTTCCAGGAATTCGGTTAGCTTCTGCAGCTCCTGCTGGGCCTCATCGGAACCATGAGCCAAAGACTGAGCAAACATTACCTGCAGGATAAATATTACAATTTAGATTATGACTCTCTCTCTCTCTCTCTTCATCTGATTATATCTCAACTCACCTTGGCCAATTTGTAGAGTATTTCCTCCAAGCTGTACTCATTATACAAATATTCTACGATTTTAGCACGACCCATGGTTTCATCATAGTCCGTTAGATCTAACATATATACATATCGTTCAAATATATAGTTACTTTTTACATAGTTTACTTTATTTGTCACCCACCTTGAGGACTCTCATTCTCTAGGGCCTTCAGCTTATTCCAGAAGGTGAAGCTGTCTAAGGACTTGCCTCGTCCTATTTCCGGAGTTACGGCCTCCGAATCGCTGTCCAAGTGTATGAATGGCTTTTCAGTGGTGGTGCTCGTTGTGGTTGTTGTTGTTGTCGATGTGGTTGTCGAGCTAGGCAAAGTATTACGCTTCAAGTGATTCTGACGCAACTCCTCGGGAAAAATGCGATTTGCATAGGAGCGCTGCAAGAACTCAATGCCCAGACGAATATCGCGCAAAAACTTCAGAGCACTCTCTCGGGTGATCTGCGAAGAGAAAAGATATAGATGTGGAATATAAATATATAGAAATGGATTCATTCAAGAAGTGTAGAGATAGATTTAAAGAAATATACATATAGTTTTGGATTTTTTGATATACATAGGTATACAGGGTATCTGAGGTATATCGATTTTATACTCTAGTTTGAACTGAATCGTATATTTAACTATTCGGTATATTCTTAGGCTAGGAGGAATATTCCTACAACAAATCCTAGTTTGGGCATTCACCTTAGGGTGCATGACTGACGATTTACAGATAATTTCTGAATATATGGATATATTTATATAGATTCAGGATATCGACCTAGATGAAGCATTACAATATTAGATAGTTAGATAAACCCACCAAATTCTCATCGATCAGTTCCTCAACAGCTCTAGCTACGCCTGTCTCGTCGCCAGTCCAGAACACATACTGGGCCATATCAAAGGAAGAGTATTGGCCATTTGTATTGCGCAGCAAGCTCTGAGCCGTCTACAAGAGAGAGATAAAAGAGAGCATGTGAATCAGGGCAGATCAACAGAGATGTGCGTGGGGTCAAAGTGCAAGCAAGAGTGGGCGAATGTTGAGAATAGATCAATTTAGGTTGGGTTAGCCAATTCGTTGCCGATCAGTAAAATAGTTTTTGAGTTGTCATAAGAACCTTGGCCGTCATATGTGGCATGCTGGAGCGTCGCTCTGTGGTCTTGGCCACCGTCTCCAACTGGTCTATCAGTATGTCGCCAATGGTCTCCTTGTTGATATCGTGATTGTGATGGGCCGTGGGCAATTTATCCGGCATTGAGTCGACGTCGGTTCCGCCAACTGCGTCGACTGTCTCTTCGGCAGTCTCAACGGGCTCACCAGCCACATCCTCGCCAGCTGGCGCTGCTGCGTCTTCTGTGGCCACTGTTGGCGCTGCAGCTGTTGTTGTTGTAGTCGTGGGCATAGCTGTTGTTGTTGTTGTAGTTGTTGTTGTGGTTGCTGGAGATGTGGGCAACACCTCGGGATTTTGGCCAAATGCAAGACGCGCTGCACCGTAGAAAGCCTGTTGGTTTTTGGGTGGTTTCGTGGATATACACTTGGATTTTCAAAAGACACATATTGGCTTGGTTTACAAGGGGCATACATACATACATATACTGCTATGGGACGGGATCTGGGCCGGGCAATAGCTCCTTACCTTTGCATGGGCTCCCGGCTCGTTGGCCGGCTTGGCCGCCGTCTTTGGCTCCTCTAGCTGTGAGCGTTCGCCATCGTCCTTAAACGCTGCCGTTGTCGTCGTTGCCGATGTGCTGGTGGTGGTTGTGGTGGACATCGACATTAGGGGCGTGGCCACCTCCAGTTGACGCTCCAGGTCAGGCATCAGAGGCTGCTCCTTGCTACCCACCTCTGGTGGGGTAATTACTTTCGCGATGCTCTCCTTGGTGGTGGTTGTGGTGGTCCGTGCGGTGCTGCCATCGTGCTGTCGTTTTCCCACCGCGGGCTGCTCCTGCCTCAACTGATCCAGCTCCACGACATCGTCCTCGATTTGCGGAAAAGTATCAGCGCTGCGCTTCAAAGGGGCTGCACGAACATGAATACATGTACGTATATCTACACATATAGTATATATCGTGAGGCCTACTTACAGTAGAGATATGGTAAGAGCGCCGGATAGGCATGAGCCAGGCTGCAGCTGGCAACCAGGACAACAGCCACGAATCGATTGCCAAACATAGCGTAATATTTCGAGCTGTAAAGGACATTAGACGTAATCAATTTGATTAGCTGCCAACAAAATTTGATTACGCATACAAATGCAAGTTTAAATGTGTTCGAGTGTGTAAGTGTTAGTGTCAAGAGAGTGAAACAGAAACACACGCACATCAATGCAAATAAATATTGCTAAAAATAACACAAGAAATCGATAAAACAGCGGCAGTAAAAGCGTCCAAAGCAAAGCACAGCACAATGGAAACATCAAAAACAAAAAACAACAACAAAACAAAAATGAAAAGTTTAATTTGGTAATGGGGAACATTAAATGCCCTTATAGGTAGTAAAAGCAATGCAAGCAACGCTCAGCGAAACATAAACAAAAAGTAAAATTAACAAGAAGTAAATTTTCCATTGTGAAGGACGACGACTAAATACACTTGCTAAATAAATATATGAACATATACATATATAAGTCTACCGTACGAAAAACAGTACATTTTTAAATCCGTAAATTAAATTCCAATACTATAAAATAGTTAAAGGTAAACACTCTAAAATGTATATTTAAAAATAAATAAGCGCTTGATTATAAAATAAAACTAAATTTCATTCAATGCAGATAATTATTAATTATATTATGTTATTTCAAAAGGCTCAGACTTCATAACAGTAAAAATTAATCCACTTGATATTTGACTCAAGACTTAAATACTTACAATATAAGAATAAAATATCATTCACAAATAAAATGTAATATTTAGTATACATACTATTAATATATAAGAACACTTTAAAAATAAAATTAAGGATGATAACAAAATGTAGTATAACAGTAAAATTTAACATAGAAATGAAATAGAGTAAAAGAATAAAATATATCTAGCAATTATATGCTACACCAAATACAATACAATCTCACATCGAATCATACATTTGCCAACATAGGCAGCATACCCATTGCAAGGGTATTCAAACAAGGTGCCACAACAACGGCAACAACAAGCGTGGGGCTTGTCAATGGAAGAGCAGAATGGAACACGCCAACTTTGATGTTAAGCGAATTTTATGCTGTGGTCCCTAACTAAGCCACCCAACCATCGACACACACAGGCACACACAAACACATGCACACAAACAAAGAAGAAGCACATTCACTTACACACACACATATACACATACACACATACATACGCACACGATTGTAATAGATTGCCCACAAAAGCGAATTATCGATGCATTTGGGAGCACTTAGGCACGTTTTGCGCCTTGCAAGCCACTTGCTGTTGTAGATTGCGTTGTTGAGTGGGGATGCAGCACAAACTGCAGTAGCAGCAGTTAAAACCACAGCCGAAATTATGCTGAAAATGCAACGCAAATCACGCACACACACTCTGGCATATACACACTACACCTACCACAATATGCTAATAATACATGCTCATGAATTTTGCACAAATAACAAATATGGCAACGCTCAAAAGTGTGCTATAAAAATGTTTAACAACGCAATAGACACTTCGCAAATAAGAACAGATATTATTATTGTAATTGGCACAAATGGAATTTCACTTTTACCTCTTGTAACGTATCAACTTAAAAACTCGTCCTAACTGCACGAACACAGAGAAGACTCTGAGCCGAGCAACGAATTGCGAATTGTTTGGCAGCAATAAAAATTGAAAGCTCACTCTTGCCGCTAAAGCGCTTTAACACTATGAAGCCAAAAGGGCATTTGTATGCCCGCTGCAAGGATAAAAGCTCTACGAAAAGCTTAAGCATTCATTTATGTGTTTCTTCGTGTTTGTTTTTTAACTATGTTTTAGATTTATTTAAAAAACAACGGCAAAACAATAAATCATGTAAATTTAATTGCAGCCTGGAAACGGATCCACACGGTTCTTTCGTAGCACAAATTGAATTTTACGATTCATGTCCTCATTGTAGATGGCTTTGCACTTCTCAAAATTAACACGACGACGCACCTGTAAAAATAACAGTCATTAGCTACATTTAAGAACATGTTTATATTCGCACCTGGTAGGGCTTCTCATAGAAGCGCGTGCGGCGGAACTGATCGAAGATTTCTTCCTTGCCGAGTATGCGGTTAAGAAGACGGCATGCCTCCTCCACGTTGTTGTTGTGCACAAACACAGTGCGTGCTATGAATTGAGCGTGTCTCATTTCTAATTCTAATTCAGAATTTATTTTATTGAATCTCTGGCTATTCCACTCGAGTTAAATAACCAGGCCGCCGTAGACAGCTGTTTTGTGAGGTGTGACCGTATTGCTTTCATCTGTCGTAGGCTTGCCAGACTGCGAATTTGGGACAGAGTTGCATTTTCTCAACGAGCGACTCGTTGCTATGGCAGTATTATTATAATAAAAGTAGTGTAACATGTATCACCCCTAATATATTCTCGATCTTTCATACAACAAGCGTGGCGCATTCGTACAGCGATAGCAGGCTGCTGAAAAAGTATTCGAAATAGATTTAAAATTATAGTAAAAGTGTAACTCTTAAAGCGTACTGTAAAAACGGTATACATATATATAAATATATAACTATTAGAACAAATATTCGAGTACTCGTGAAATCCTGTTATAAAAAGGTGAGAACTACTAAGAAATGGTCTAATTATTTCCGCAGGCATTTTCATTATGTGTGTGTGTATTTGATGATTAGTTTTTGCCCAGTCTTTGTTAAGTAATCATAGGGAATATATAATTTTTATATTTGCGTCGTAGTTAGTAATTGCACTATGTTACGCCTGATGCACTATTTTGCAAAATCGATTCAAGTCGGCAACGAAAGCTGAATTTTCTTTGTCTCTACCCCAATTAATATTCCTCTGACGCAGCGTCCTGCGCGGCACATGTTTTAGCGTGTGCGCCCATACTCAATCATATTTATGTGTGTGTGTGTGCGCCTGTCTGTCTGGGAATTGCAGCCGAATTGCAGACAAGGGCCTTACGAAAATCGCACACAAATCAATAGAAAATTGTACAGCGTTTTCTAATTTTTTCGCTTCGTCTCGTTTTCTGCACGTTGCTTTACACCTAGTCATTGTATTGGTGTGCTTTTTTTCACATTATCATGTCGTTCGCTTTGTGCCGATGTTCGCACAGGGGCAACGGTTACGGCAACCAGGGCTGCGCACTGCTGACGAAATTTTCTAGAAGTTTATGTACATTTGTATATAAATATGTATGTATGGATGAGTGTGTGTATATGTATCTGCGTCAGAGTGGTAGAGAGAGACAACGAAATGCAAAGAGTAAGGCAGAGTCAGCTGTGAGGCGTTGAATGTGGTATCCAAAACCGAACAAAAAAGCATATTGAAATAGAAAATTTCTAGAAAACGTGGGGCCCTGTTATCTTCGATACCGCCGTGTGTCGACCTTGATATTGCGTTTTTTTTCTTTTGAATTTTCGCATCCCGGAAATTGCCATTTATACGAACAAAAAGCGACCAGTTTATAAATATCTGGCAACCCGAGTAATTACAATGTAATTTCGTCTCTGTTTGCAGTTAAAGGTTAAAAGAATCAGCTAACAAGAAAAAATATGGTTAAGGAAACGGGCTATTACGATCTGCTTGGAGTGAAGCCCAATGCAACCCCTGATGAGCTGAAGAAGGCCTACAGAAAATTGGCGCTCAAATACCATCCAGACAAGAATCCCAATGAGGGCGAGAAATTTAAAGCCATCTCCCAGGCGTACGAAGTGCTCTCTGATGCGGACAAGCGTCAGATATACGACGAGGGTGGTGAGGCGGCCATCAAGAAGGGCGGCGCCGATTCCGGCGATTTCCGTAATCCAATGGACTTCTTTGAGAAATTCTTTGGTACCGGTTTCGGTGGTGGCGGCGGCGGCGGTCGCCGTCGTGAGCGACGCGGCAAAGATGTCGTCCATCAGATGTCCGTTCAGCTGGAGGAGCTGTATAACGGAGCAACGCGCAAGCTGCAGCTGCAAAAGAATGTGATTTGTGACAAGTGCGAAGGACGTGGTGGCAAGAAGGGCAGCATCGAGAAGTGTGTGCAGTGTCGCGGCAATGGTGTCGAGGTCCGTGTGCAACAGATTGCGCCCGGCATCGTGCAACACAATGAGCAAGTGTGCCGAAAGTGTTCCGGCAGCGGTGAAACCATACAGGAGAAGGATCGCTGCAAGAACTGCAACGGACGCAAAACGGTGCGAGAGCGCAAGGTGCTGGAGGTGCACATCGAGAAGGGCATGCGGGATGGCCAGAAGATAGTATTCGCAGGCGAGGGCGATCACGAGCCCGAATCTCAACCGGGTGATATCATAATATTGTTGGACGAAAAAGAGCACTCAACATTTGTGCATGCGAATACGGATCTGATGATGAAAATGCCGCTGCAACTGGTCGAGGCTTTGTGCGGCTTCCAGCGGGTTATCAAGACTCTCGATGATCGCGATCTGCTGATTTCCACACAACCCGGTGAAGTTATCCGACACGAAATGACCAAATGCATTGCCGAAGAGGGTATGCCCATATTCAAGAACCCCTTGGAGAAGGGCACACTCATCATTCAATTCGAAGTTATATTCCCCGACATGCTCAATCCATCAGTTATCCCGACGCTCAAGCAATGCTTGCCGCCGGCGCCAGATATTGACATTCCAGTTGATGCAGAGCATGCAGTTTTGGTAAGTCAAGGGAGAGAGAGAAAGAGGAGCGAGTCGCTAACAACTATTTATTGTTTTGTTTTGCAGGAGGACTTTGATCCCAAGCAACGTCGCCAGGAACACCAGCGCATGGCCTATGATGAGGACGAGGGTGGCTACCAGTACGGACCACGCGTTCAACAGTGCACATCCAGTTAAACAGCTTACACTTAAAGCAAATTAACTGACACACAACAAAAGTAAACAACACCCATAAAAACGAAATCCAAGAAGTAAATCAAGTGTCTGCGTCCAAGGTGAATCTGGAGAATGAATATTCACTCGCCAACCCCCTCTGCGTGTTCCAATTGTCAACCCAATGCAAGTCCGTCACTAACATCGTCTGAACTAGCTACTGCCCCCCACTTGGCACTTAGCGCGTATATATTCCCAGCACCTGGCACTCCATCCGCATCGACTGGCATTTGCTGCATTCATTGTAATATCCCAAACTAAAACTAAAAGAAAAAAAGAAACACTCGCAAATAATTAACTGAAATTTACACACACACACACACACCCATATATACACTAAAATGTATCCAAATTGAAGAAACAAAAATTTCAAGTTATATATATGGCTTAGGATCGGGAGACGCTCTTCAGACTACGAGATATGCTAATTACGATATTTAGGTATAAAAACAAAAAACAAAAGAAAATACTTATCAAAAATATTATGCACTACATTTTTAACGCGTGGTTCGAAAAACTATATATAAACATTGTTTTATTCCGTTTATGTTGAGTTGGATATATATGAGTTGACAATAGGAGATGCCACCCCCATGAAATACGAATATATAAATGAAACAAAATTTGAATCAAGTCGCCACTAGAACCGCATATTTACAGACCGCGATCCAACGCGTCTAGGAACAAATTTAAGTTATTTAATTCCAGCCTAAATAATAAAGCGTTAGATTAAACGGATATAATAAATAAAATAATACACAATTTCAACTTTAAAAATATATGTTTATGCGTTCGCTTTTCTTTAAATGGTAGCGCATGATACGTCACGATACTGCATATTAACTAAGCCGGTTATCAGTCTGGTGTGATTCATATGATTCATAGGTCTGACTAATTTTTAGATATTAACTCTAAAATTCTTAGATATTACGATTTCGATCGATTCGAATATTGGCTACAAAATTTTGATTGAATTTGGGTTTCACTCTATTCGACACAAGGAAGGATTTATACATTATCAGATAGGTATGGCTCAATCGAATTTCGATTAAGGTTTTTGTATGCTGAATTCTAAATTTCAGAAATTCCATATCATCAATATTGCATGATTAGCAAATGGTTTATAGGTCCGACCAACTTAGGAAGGTCTATAGAATCAACTGCAATAGAAATACCCAATCCCAATGTCTATCGATATCAAGATTGACGGAGCTTACTATCTATTCTTTGGCCAAGTTAAAAATTGGGATTACATACGAATTTCACATTTGAAAATGCTTCCAAAGTGATATAAAACATTACCAATTTATTTACAAACATCTGGTAAAACGTAATTTAATAGACTTAAGACTATAGACCAAGTTAGCGAGCAAAGTTGCGCAGTGCCGCGACGACGCCAGTGCCGTAGATCAACTTGCTCTCGATGCGCTCCCAGGCCGCCTGTTGGGTTTGCGCAACGCTGCGCAGCGACCTGACAAGCTCTGGGGATTCGCTTAAGCTCAAGCCGTGGGAGCGCAGATAAACGCTTAGATATGATTGGGCCAATTCGAAGTTTTGGTTCGTGCCAAACATGTGCTCGATGAGGCTGAGGAACTGCAGCATGGCGAGCCTGGTGCCGCCGGCATCCGGATGCAGTGATTTGATCTCGAAGTCCACCATTGACGGACCCAGCTGGGTAATGCGCTGCACCACGGAGTCAAAGTCTTTGCTTGTGGCCGTCGCTTCCAGCTGCTTGCCAAAAGCGGTCAGATTGTTGAGCGAGGAGACCTCGATCACACGGGATTGCTCAGTGTTGCCCGTTTGCACATTGGATACATCGAAGCGCAGATCTAGGCCTGCAACCGTCGGCAGGAAGAAGGGCGCCTGTTTGGGTGTTTTGGGCGGTGCCTTCGGCTTGTTGCGCTGCTTGATCAGCTCCAGGTCGAGCAGATTTTGCCAGCGCGATGCTGCCAGACCGGAGAGTGTGATTAGCTCGGGCGTCAGCTGCTTAGGCGTTTCGTACTGAGCATCAATCTGCTCGCCCAGTTCCACATTATCGTTAACGTCATCAATGCCCAGCTCCTGCATGGCATCATCAAGATCCATGGCATCGCAAATGCTAGCGGGCAGGCCCACATACGGCGCCGGCTCATTCGGATCTATGGAACGCAACGAGATCTGGTTAAACAGCGTCTTGTTGGCCCACAGGTAAATGCCCAACAAGCCGATGTGGGCGGTGGCCAGGAAGTCACCAGTGGGCGACATGCTTAGCGAGACGCAGGGCTGCTGCACCTTGAAGTGATCGATCATATAGGATGAGGGTATGTCCCACACCTTGATGGTCGAGTCCATGGAGGCTGTGATGAGCCAGCGGCTGTCCGGACTAAAGGCCATATCGTTTAGCTTTGCCGTGTGCCCGACAAACTTA